GGCTATATGATAATTAAGGGTTAATGTCCCGCCTCGAGGTGAATATGGTGTGATAAAGCCTTGTCAGTTGCTATAACCACCGAATAAAGCCACCTCGTTCGCTGCGCTCACTCTGTGGCTTTATGAGGTGGCTATAGCAACTGACAAGGCTTTATCACACCATATTCACCGAGAAAGGGCGGGACATTAAGGCTATTATCATATAGCCTATCCAAACTTACACAGTAAAGAGTGACACATTCCTGTACAACACACACAAACTAAATAGAACATAGTTCCATCTGGAGTCACCTGAGGTCACTAGGGGAGGGTCATGTTCTATCTGGGTCACAGGCAGGGAACAGGCGTTCTTATGGGAGTCACCCCAGGTCATTGGAACACCACTCAAGTTATTTTTGGATTTTTTAGAACTAGAGCCGTGTTCTATTGGGTCACATGAGGTCATATGCGGGTGCTTATTGGATTTTTAATGTATGGATTGGGATGAATGAATACCCGATTTTGACTCTATTTGTGACATTACGGCGTCATAAGGAATATGGAATGGAGCCTTCTGATTGGTCAACGTCACCCGGCTATATGATAATGATAAATAAACACTTTATCCAGTTTTGGCTAAATATAAAGCGGCTCTACAATAACACACAAACAAGTATTGCGATCTTCAATGTCACCCACGATAACGGTAGTAGCTTCGTTTCATGTTCCATGTCCACTACAAAATGATTGCAGACATGTACGTCTAGGAAATGGTTTATATTTGTGTAAAGGTGGATTTTTTTCTGTTAGAAGGTACGAGTACCCATGTAAAGAGGGGCCAGGCTAACAGTAAATGACCGCGGGTGTCCCCATTTCGAACACCGTTCTGTTCGAATTACGTCATATCGAACACGGTTCGGGTTCTACACCAGGTGGGGAGATGAGGACCCAAATTTGACCACCGAGACACACGAAATTATTTTCGTATTTGCAAGGTCAGTGCACATTAATGGTATATTTCTAAGTTCCATTCAACACGTGCGATTCACAAATGGAGCATAGAGAACTGTAACATAACTTTCAAAGACCGTACACGTGGGTTGTGCACGATATCTGGTTCTACCTGGATGTCTAAATTTCATCGACGTAACCGTTTTATAACTTACTGTAGTACTGTTACAAGTCAAGTCAAACTTCATTGCACAACAATTGTAACAGTTACGATGTATGGCAAGGTCTTCATAGTTTTTTTTTTTTTTATATTCCAACATCTCATCACAAGACGTGGTGACGGCACACTCAAGTTTTTTCAACTTATATTAATGCCGCCACCAACACGGGACAATACAACACTCATTTTCACATGATTGAAGTGAGGAAAGTCTTGTAAAGTGCCTTTCCCAAGGGCACAAGATCATATATCGGTGGCATGTCAGGACTCGAACCCGGGACCTCTTGATTCCGAGTCGAGCACTCCGCCGCTACGCCACACGACACCACATAGTCTTCATAGTTACTACATATCTAGCTGATATCTACTCTAACGTTCTCAGCAATGCTTGTAAGTTCTATTTATCGAAACTATCACTATACCATTTCATAAAGGTGATATACTATATATGGAACATGGCTTACATGATAACATACGAGAGTTCTCCATACATTCTACAGACTAGACACTAGGCTATTTTAAGTAACTAATATAGTATAAATGGGATATGAGATATGGACTATACACTACGGCGTATTTGGTAGAGTCGGATATAACATAATTTTCTTAACTAAAGCGTTGGATACATATTGAATGCTGCCATATATAGCAGGTACAAATGTACGTGTACTAAGTAGGTGTTACAAGGTCGGTTCATCGTATAACAGAAGTTGGTGTGTATATATCTGTGTAAATACGATTGATAAGAAATATTAGCTTATGCCACAGCAAGTAAATTTTATGGATGACATCCTCCGCAGACTCCAAATCTAATGCGAGAGGGCGAAAACAAAACAAGACGGGCCCCAAAAAACAAGATTCCTATATTTTCAAATTTTGACATCATAAAGCCTGTTAAACAAGAAATGATACCTATTATAGCTATATTGTGCTAACTTTACTGCCAACTATCACAACATCCATTTGTCACTGAAACAACTTTGAAAAAGAAAAATTTTCAATCATTGTACAAATGGTTTTGATTCAGTTGGAACATATAAAAGGAATGAAATACATCACTGCATCAACAGAAAAGTCAAAACAATAAATCAGAGCCTTGTCTTGCCTCCTCTCTTCATGTTTATCTGCCATACACGTTCCGGCATAGCAAGGCATGCCATTTTTCCCATTTTTGGAATGTTGACCACTGTCAAAGGGCAACAAAATTTCTTGTTCTTTTTTTTACCAAAATCAGGCGAAAATCAATGCGTGCGCTGATGTCATCTATAAAAATTACTTGCTGTGGCCTTATAAGGGTTATAATTTCTAACATGAATCGTTGTGATTCTGTTCGGAAAATTAGAGGGTTTGAGACTTTATTCTGAATTAATAAACCATTGATTTACGTATACTGCTGTCGTTTGTGTCTGGTAAGGTCAAAATACCAGTTGAACTTTGTATGTCTATCTGCCAGTATTCATTTCATTATACATGTATAACAATTTGATAACACACCGTCTGGCCCGTGGATAACCTTTTAAAATATACCTCCCCCCCCCTCGTTCTTTGTTACTGGAAGGAATGGAATAGTCCTAAAACTTTGGCTTCACGCAAAGCATTCTGGGACCGTCTAAACCTTTACCAAGTTCTGGAACGTCATAATCGTTACTGTGGAACATCCTCGTTTGTAGAGAGAAATCACAGCTAGTGATCAGCGAAATTTTCTGATCGTTTTTCTAGTCGTATCTACGCACGAACGAAAATAAAATCCCGTTGAAAATGGGTAATTGTTTGGCAAAACAAGACAATGAGTTCCCGGACTTTTCTGGAGAAAAAGACGCCCGTAAGAGGCAAAAGATCCACAAAAAGAGGTAAGAAACACAACATTTACTTGGCGGGATTCCAAGTAGCCTTTGAGAACGCTGTTGCCATATGGTTGTAGGGCCAGAGCTCTAGCTCAAACGTGCTGTGTTAACGTTACGTATAACGTTACATGTATATAAAAAAAACGGGACCGTATAATTATCATCAACAGACTATCAAAGGCTAAAATTAGCTTTTACTGGGATAGTTTATGAGTTTTGATGCTAAGAATGGACTGATACGTGAAGATGTTTGTGGATGGTGCTTATCATCAACGATAGGTACGTATACATGTGTGTGTGTGTGTGTGTGTGTGTGTGTGTGACGTGTGTGTGTTTGTGTGTGTTTGTGTGTGTGTGTGTTTGTGTGTGTGTGTGTGTGTGTGTGTGTGTGTGTGTGTGTGTGTGTGTGTGTGTGTGTGTGTGTGTGTGTGTGTGTGTGTGTGTGTGTGTGTGTGTGTGTGTGTGTGTGTGTGTGTGTGTGTTTGGATAGTGTTCGGCACCAAAAACAGGTGTATTTGTCTGTAAGTAGATGGTGTTCAGCACCGAGTACAGACGTGTTTATGTGTGGTTAGTGTTCAGCACCAAGAACAAGTGTGTTTGTGTGTGCTTAGTATTCAGAACTTTGTCTGTACGTAGATGTGTTTGTGCGTGGAATGTGTTCAGCACTAAGAACAGGTGTGTTTGTGTGTAGATGGTGTTCAGCACCAAGGACAGGCGTGTTTATGTGTGTTTAGTGTTCAGCACTAGGAACAGGTGTGTTTGTGTGTAGATGGTGTTCAGCACCAAGGACAGACGTGTTTATGTGTGTTTAGTGTTCAGCACTAGGAACAGGTGTGTTTGTGAGTAGATGGTGTTCAGAACCAAGGACAGGCGTGTTTGTATGTTGTTACTGTTCTGCACTAAGAACAGGTGTGTTTGTCTGTGAGTAGACGGTGTTCAGCATCAAGGACAGAGACCAAACCAAAGTGGAGTTTCTGTCGTCACCGACATTCAATTTTACGTGGACATCGCTCTCAGCATTTACGGAAGATATATAATGTCATTCACATACATGTATTAGACGATAGCCATACCGTATGTTATGTTATGTTATGTTATGTTATGTTATGTTATGTTATGTTATGTTATGTTATGTTATGTTATGTTATGTTATGTTATGTTATGTTATGTTATGTTATGTTATGTTATGCTATGTTATGTTGATCAGATATATGCTACACAGGGTAGCTGTATATTGTTCGACATGTCGTACGTCTTGTTAACGTCATGGTTGAGTTTTGTGACCAAGCATGTTACATGTATTTCCTAGGTCGGCATAAGCTTGATTCTCAAAGAAACCAACCAAGTTAAAACCCCGACTGTGGCTTAAGCTTTTTCATGATTTTACCAGATTCAATGTATACAGTTCAATCGACAGGAATATACTGAAAGTGATTGTTTCATGAACAGGTGGACGCTTCTAAAGAAACAGGGGAGGAGAGTACGGAAGCTTTTCGAAAGACGGTGTATCGGTGAGACCGGTAAGAATGTGGGAAAGGAAACGGCTTCGGAATCAAGAATTCCGGACGTCCCTCTAGCTCCTGATTTCAAAGTACAAGATCAGACCGTCACCGAAGAAACAGGCGAAGAAGCAGACGAGGAAGTAGAGGTAGAAGGAGGAGGAGTAGAAGAAGACAGAGCAGAAGGTGGAGCAGCGGAAGAAGCTGTTTCTGAGGTTGACCAGCCTACAGATACAGCCCTCACAACAACATACACCCAATTCCATCTTGATGTCATCAACCTAGCCCTTTTCACCTTATCAATGCTGCGGTCTGCAAACTCTATTTTCTTAATCATCATGTCCTTACACCATGCACAAAAGTCCTGCCATCTTGCCCTCACAACATCTACCAGTAACACCACTGACAGTCATACCTTC